CGCCCGAGGAGGATCCGCCAGAGGAGGACGAGGAGGTACAGCTGCCAGAGCCCAACGAGACCGAGAAGAAGAGTTGCACGAGAAATGGGCGCACCCGAGCAAGGCAGACTTTTGTCGGGCCCTGCGGCTGGGAAGGGTGAGACCTCATCTGGTCAGGTGGGCCAAGACTCAGTTCGAGTGCGACGTGTGCAAGGCACGAACCCGCCCTAAGCCCAGGAGGGTCGGAGCCATTCCGAAGTCCTACCGCATGAATCACGTGGTGGGAATCGACCTGATCTTTATCAAGGAGGGCAACCGCGAGAATGTGCCGTATCTGAACGTGACAGACTGGGGCACTCACTACTCCATGTTCCAGAGGGTGCCAAAGGGAAAGAAGTCTCCATGGAACGTATGGCTTGCATTTTGCCGAAGCTGGCTACGGGTGTTTGGTCCTCCGGAGATTTTGGTAGTGGACGAGGGCAAGGAGTTCATGGGCACATTCGCTGATCGAGCCGCGGAGGAGGGATGCTTGGTCTCGACCATTGATGCGAGAGCCCCATGGAAGAATGCCAAGACCGAGCGAGCTGGGGGCCACTTTAAGGCGATCTACTCGAAGGCGTGCGAGCTGGAGCCTCCCGAGAATCGCAAGGACGCCGAGGCACTCATCCTCGCGTGCGAAGCCGCAAAGAACAGGTTCGTGAATCGCTCAGGGGTCACGCCAGTACAGCGGGTGCTCGGCCAGCTACCCCGACTACCTGGAAGTCTTCTATCGGATGACAGCATGGACGCACGGCTGCTCACCCAGGATCCAGACACGGAGATACAGCGGGGACATCGGCTTCGCCTTGCTGCACATCGGGCCATGATGGAAGTGGACACCCACAGCTCCATCAAGACGGTGCTGTCCAGCGGACCACGTCCCAGAGTGCAGGTACAGGCCGGCGACTGGGTTCGGGTGTGGAGGAAGTTCACCAAGGACGTGGGTGATAAGTGGTGCCCGGATTACAAGAAGGAGAGGTGGGTAGGCCCGTGCGTGGTGCTGATGGTGAAGGACGGATCGGTTTGGGTGAACCACAAGGGCGAGCTCTGGCAGTGTGGACTGGAGCAGGTCAGATTGGCGACCAGCGACGAGTGCAGGGGTGGGGAGCTGCTGAGTTCCCACTATGATGACCTACGGGAGCAGCTGGGCAGACGCGGGAGGCGACAGGGCTTTCACAACATTGCTGCCGAAGGGCCACCCCCTGAGTGGGCGTGGGACGGGGACCGCGAGTTTCATGTGCCTGCCGAACCAGATCCAAGAGACCGCCAGCGGTCACGAGAGGAGACGCGATCGTCAGTACCTGAGCCCGAGCCGCCTCTCCCACGCGAGGCAGCACCCGCAGAGCGTGAAGCCGTGGACGAACCAGGAGGTGGTCCAGTACAGGAGGACCTACCTGAAGATGCCAGGAGTGCTGGGGCACAGCAGCACGAGGAGGAGCAGGACGTGGACCAGGAGATGCGAGAAGGTCTGGAGAAGGAGATCAACGAGGCCTTGCAGGATCCAGAGCCGTTCGAGCGCAATGTGAGGCATAAGGCCAAGGAGATCGAAGAGGACGAGAAGCTCCTGCAGCAGGCTATCGCCAAGAGCATCGAGGAGGTGCCAGACACGCCGGGGATGGAGTTCGAAGTAACTGGACTCAGGCAGGGACTGGTTCGCAAGCTCGAGGAGGAAGCTCAAGGAGGGCCTGAAGCCACCAGGAGGCGGATCGAGGCGGCGATCCAGCGAGCGGTAGAGCACAACGAGCGGATGGACCTCGGGCATCGGGCCACCGGCGCTGAGAACCAGACGGAGCTGGTGAGTGAAGAATGGATGCAGGAGCTGGAGGAGGACATCTACTTCATCCAAGAATGTGGCAAGTACCTGGGCGAAGACACGTATTTCACCAAGAAGCGTGGAGGTGACGAGGTGCAGGAGCGGCACATTCCCAAGGAGGAGTGGCCCGAGTGGAGCAAGTCCGACGCAAACGAGTGGGAGGGAGTTCTGTCCACAGGTGGAGTACGGGTGCTGGGCCCTGAAGAGAGCCACAAGGTAAGGGCAGCTTTGAAGCGTCAGGGGAAGGAAGACCGCATAATCCCGTCGAGGATGGTCGGGAGGAAAAAGCCGTCCGAGGTGGTGGGCAAGCCTGCGGACTACAAGAGCAGGTGGTGCGTTCGTGGAGATCAAGACCCCGACTTCCTATCGCTGGTACGGTCCGCTCCGACGGTCACCACAAGCTCACTGATGATGGTGCTCCAGTTAGCGGCCTCAAACAAGTGGAAGGCCACGATCGGGGATCTGTGGAAGGCATTCATGCAGTCCGACAAGCTGGTCAGGGAGAGTGGGAAGCTGTACGCGGAGCAGCCCAAGGCTGGGCTTCCTAACATGGAGCCTGGGCAGTTGATCGAGTTGGTGTCCGGAGTGTACGGCCTCGGGGATGCGCCGTTGCACTTCAGGAAGGGCTTGAAGCGGGACCTCGTGAGCTTAGGCTATCGTCAGAGCACCCTGGACCCCACGGTGTTCATGCTGTTCCCCAAGGATACTCCAATACAACCTCTGGTACGACTGGCCGACCTTGGCGGAGGTCGAGGAGTCGGAGGGCCTGGGATTCAGGCACGCCCGGACGTCGAGGGGATCGCAGTAGTGGAGGTGGACGACATCTTTGACGTGGGAGGGCCACGACACCAGGAGCAGATGAGCAAGCTACGTGCGCAGCGACGGTTTGGTAAAGTCAAGTCCCTGATGGACGAGAAGGAGGGAGCTATGTTCAACGGACGCCACTACAAACAGGACGAGGAGTTCAACTTCCACGTGACCATGCGCAAGTTCATCGAAGAAAGGCTGTCCCCAATTCATCTTGGAAAGGGACGTGGGCCACGGGATGCGTGCTCGACAGGGGAGTGCAGTCAGGCTCGGGCGGTGTTGGGCTCGCTGAACTGGCTCACGCGAGAGCTACGTGCAGATGGGAGTGGGAGGTGCAGTCTGTTGCAGCAGGCGCTGAGCAAGTTGACCTACGAAGACGCCAAGGAGATCAACCAGCTGGTGAAGCATATGAAGGAGACCTCTGAGCTGGGGATCACGGTGTGGTCTATTCCCTTTGAAGAGCTCCAGTGGCTATCAGTCTCCGACGCGAGCCTACAGAACAGCAGCGAAGGAGGGTCACAAGGTGCGTATGCTATTCTGGCCACGACGAGGGAGATCAGCAAGGGCAAACGGCAGCGGGCTAGTCTGCTGGCCTGGCGGAGCTCGAGGATGAACCGAGTGGTGGACTCGACCCTGCACGCAGAGACGCTTTCACTCAACACGGGAGTTGCCGAGCTGGGATGGATGGTCACTTTGTGCCATGAGTTCGCGTTCTCCCAGTTTCGGCTTGATGAGTGGGAGCGGCGGTGCGAACATCGCCGACTATTGTCACTGGCGGGACGCAACGAAGAGAACAAGGGCGCGGAGTTCTTGCGCAAGGGACTGTGCGTCGTGGACGCCAAGTCGCTGTACGATTACCTGCAGAGAGAGACGACAGGAGGTCGAGATCGAATGTGTGCCACGCAGATCCAGATTATTCGGCAGGCCATGAACGCGTTGGGATGCGACATCCGGTGGGTGGATCACCCGGCCATGCTCGTGGACGGCATGACCAAACGGAGGGCGAAGTTGGACCTGATGGTAGAGCTGTTCAAGAATGGGACGCTCTGTATTGCCGATGAGAGCAGCACCATGGAGATGCACCGAAAAAGGAGCGCAGCCGGTCAATGGCCACAACGGTGAGTGAGGTGTGCTGCTTTGCCACTTTTAGGCGTGCGTGTGTTGATCCAGTGCAGTGAATATGCAGGCTGAAGGGAACAGAGATTTTCGGGAGCTGTGTTTGCATAGTGCATCCTATGCCTTAGCGCTTCCCTTCAGCCCCAGTGACCTGTTCACTTTCCCGCCCCGCTGCAGCCATATCCTGCTCGGGCTTGCTTACCCCGTTTCCCCCCCTCTTTTCCCAACACCAGATATACCAGTATCTTCCCTTCCTTTCCCACCCACCGACGCTCACTTGGAGCGTCTGTTATACAGTGCTGCGCCAGTGCCGACGCTTGACGAGATCGAGGGTGGCGCGTGGCAACGTGAAAGATCAGAGAGCGTCATTGTTGCCACTCTCAGGGGGCCTGTTCGGGAACAATTTTTCAGGCAGTTGTGAGGCTTCTTGTTGGCCGTCTGTGGGCTTCTCTTGGTCCTCTTGGGGGCCTCTTGGGTTTTTTTGGAAATCTCTTGGGGATTCCTTGGGGCCTCTCCGGGTGGAGAGCTCGAATTGTGGGTTCGTGTTTCCCTTCTTGGGCCTCTTGAGGCTCTCTTGGGTTATCTTGGGTGCACCTTGGGCCGACTTGGTTCCCTCTTGGGCCGTCTTGCTTGGAACCTTCTCAAGGGCCTCTTGGGACGTCATGGGGCGGTCTTGGAGGCCCCTAGGGCCGTTCTGGAGCTTCAGAAGTTCGAAATGGCGATAACGCGAAACACATTGCAAAAACAACATCAGTCTCAATGAATGTTGCTTCTTTGGGCCTTCTCGGGAATCCTTTGGGAGCGCTCTAGGGTTTTTTTGGGGGCCTCTTGGGCCTCTTGGATCGCCATTTGGCGATGTTGTCGACTGTGGACCTTAGACGCCGAAGATGGCGCTGGGGACGTGCTTGGGCATCTTAGACGCCGAAGAGGGCGCTGGGGACGTGCTTGGGCGCCGACAGAGCTTCCAGAAGAGGGCGATGCACGCGACTCTACGCGACCCTCGTTTTGGGGGGGCCCTGAGAAGATTACAGAAACCCTGCCAGACAGCACTTGGCGTTCCAACACGCCTCAACGTGCGGCCGGAAACACGGTGGCGGATTGAAGACCTTGGGGGCCTCAGGACAGTCCATTCAGTGCTTAGTATTTCGGTGGCGGATACGTGTGCGAGCAATAAATTGCATGTCCCCATCGTGTAATCATGTGGGGCTTTCAGCCAGGGTGGTTATCGCGCCTCCCATTTGTTCGTCAAGCACCTGTATGCGCGACCCAGATGTGCCGTCGCGTCTTTGGCGCCACATTTGCCCCATGAAGCGGTTTGCTGCTGGCTGTGTGGGCCCAAGCTGTTACTTACGATAAACCCCTTCGCGTTGCTGCCACGTGCCAGATCGTGCCCCCGAAGCCCCGACTCCAAAGCATGGCCCGCTCCAGCTCGCTGCTGCTCGCCTGCATGTTTGCGGCCGCCTTGTTTGCGTTCCTCGGCTTGCGTTCCCTGTCGTTTGCCGGCACGTCGTGGGCACCGGCGTTGCGATCGTCGACTCCGGCCGTCGAGAGGGCCGGTTACGGCGGGAGCTCCGGCGGCAAGAACTATTGGGAGAAGTGGGAGACCGGGGACTACTACCTGAGGCCCCCGCCGGGCACCTACCTGCAGGGGTTCGAGTACGGGCGGAATCAGCTGGCGGACGGCCGCACCGCGGGCGACGAGAAGGGCGTGGGCAGCAAGGGCCCGAACGTCAACATTGTACTCGTGGCAACCGTGTTTTTCTTCGCCTCGGTCTACGCGAACTACGCCGGTTTCTTCAACCCGTGAGGAGGCTCCCGTCGAGCCGATTTTGAGCGGGCGCGCGCCGGACGCGCAGCGAAGTTTTCGGGGCCCCTTTGGCCGACACTTGCGCCTGGCGCAGTTTTCCTCGATCCAGCCGCCGATTCGTTATAGGCGGTGTTTGAGCGACCTCAGACTGTTGACGCGGCCGCGCCTCTGCTCAGAGCGGGGAGGGCCTCCTCCTCCTCCTCCTCTCCTCGCCTCTCCTCTCCTCCTCCTCCGCCTCCTCCTCCTCCTCCTCCTCCTCCTCCTCCTCCCTCCTCCTCCTCCTCCTCCTCCTCCTCCTCCTCCTCCTCCTCCTCCTCCTCCTCGCTTGCGTGCAGCCGGGGGAAGAGGCTTCGGCAGAGCCTCCGGACGAGACTGCACGCGACCCCGGTGCGGGGGGGGGCCCTTAAAGGATTGCAGAGACCCTGCCATACAGCATCGGGCGTTCTAGGACGCCTCAACGTGCGGTCGGGGGAAGAGGCCCGAGCAGACCCAGCGCGCTCGTTCGCTGGCAGCCAGGGGCGTCCAGTTCCAGGCGACCGCCGCGCATCGCGACCGCGGAGGGGCGGAGGTGCAAGTGGAGAGGGCGCGCAGGGAGCAGCGACGGCGGGCAGCGGGCAGGGGGCACGAGCTGCGCGCCCCCTCCCCCGAAGCGGGGAAGCGCAGGACTCGAGTAAGCCGGAACTCAGGTTCGCCGACGGTTTGTGACGAGCGCGTCCTGGATTTGGACGGTCCAGTTGTCGTGGGATGTCTGCAGCGGGAGCTCGCGTCAAGTTTCAGACTGGGCCTCGTCATTTTTATGATGGCCCCGGCAGGCCAACCCGAGTCCCCCGTACCCGAGTCTTACGTCTCCCCGACCCAAGAGAGTTGGGGCCATGGAAATCCGCGTCCATTTCGCGTCGATTGGTCGCATTCCGTCTTCAGCGTCGATTCGCGCGCCCAAATGCGGCCATGTGCGGGCCATGTGTGGCCATTCCGTCTTGAGCGTCGATTCGCGTCGAGTGGTGTCTGGGAGTCGGTGAAGTAACGCCGATCTAGCGTCGGCTAGCGTCGATTGACGTCGATTTAGCGTCGTTTCGCGTTGACTTAGCGTCGATCTAGCGTCGATTTGCGCCGATTCGCAAGAGCCGACAAGATGGCATGGGGAGCTCCGAGGAGTTGCCACCGATAATGTCACGTCCCAGGAATTGAAGAAACAAGCTTCGAAGCTCCTCGCGGATTTCTTGGATCTGCGCTGGACCCCCCCAAGGGCGCCTCCGGGAGGGGGTTCCGCGAAGACCTAATAGATCTTCGCGGACCTCCAACAGTTTACGTGTACGCAGGGAGGGATCCGCAGGGGCAGAGAAGGGCATGAGGGCATCGGGGCCGGGAGCTCCAGAGGGAAGGGAAGAGGAAACATGACGAGGAGCAGCGGCAGGAGGAGCAGCGACAGAGGCACGGGGAGGGCAGTTCTGCTGCACGAGGAGGTGGGAGGGAGGACGAGCGGGAGGAGGGACGTGGTTGGATTAGCGCTCGGCGGTCCCCCTCCTCCTCCCTCTTCCTCCTCCTCTCTCCTCCTCCTCCTCGTCCTCCTCCTCCTCTTCCTCCTCCTCCTCCTCCTCCTCCTCCTCCCTCCTCCTCCTCCTCCTCCCTCATCCTCCTCCTGCTCCATCCGCCTCCTCCTCCTCCTCCCTCCTCCTCCGCCTCCTCCTCCTCAAATGGTGCAGCGCAGGAGGTGGCGTGAGGCGCGACCCACTGCCCGGGCTCCCGCAGGCCCTGCCAGAGTGGTGCCCGTGGCGCAGCGCCGGGCACTCGCCCAGGTTTGGCGCTGGCGAGTCAGGTGTGTCAAAAGCAGTGGCGAAGCGTCCTGGCTCGCCCATAGCCCTAGCAAACAATGTTCTAAGAACCTTTTGTGGTTCCCACGAAATGCTCTTCGAACATTTCTGGCTCGGACTGTCCTGTTGTGTCACATCGGGCTTATGTTCTAAGAAGAGTGTTTTTGTTCTTAAAACCTTCCTGGGTTCTAAGAACCTTTCATGGTAGGACTATCGGAATGCCAGGACGGTCGGTCCCTGCTCAAGTGTGGTCAGCAGAATATCTCAACGGTCTTCTGCTCCAGCGGTCTTCGCTGCCTTGGCGATGATGGCTAACTGCGTTCCCCAACCAGTGCTTGCACTGAAGGGGCCCTATCGGAAGTTGAGAGCTTTGGCGGAAGTTTCCCGCCGATTTTGGGAGCAGGCTGGGTTCCCGGGTTCCCGGCTCGGGTTCCCGGCTCGGGGCTCCCATGTTCCCGGTTATTGGGTCGGGGCCGATTTCGGAGGGTTCTGGGTTCCCGGGTTCCTGGGTTCCCGGTCGATCTCCTCAGCGAAAACTATCCACTGATTGGGTTTTTGTCTTTGGTGTAATTTCTTTGGATGAGAGTTGGTTGTTTTCCTCCCTTCTGAGGTTAGCCAGGTGGGTGGTGGGCGGAATGGCATCGGAGCTCTCGACACTAGTCTCTGCTTGGCTTGTTTAAAGGAGGATGAAGAGGAGAGGGGCAGGACGAGCAGAGAGCAAGTCGAGGAGGAGGAGGAGGAAGGATTAGGACCAGTGCAAACCCAAGACTCATCAGCAACGTTGCAATCAGCCCTCTCGCCAAGTTCCCTCTGAATAGGTCCCTGCACAATTTTTGTTTTCATTGTGTGATCCTCATTGGGAGACAACCGATGGAGATGAAGGAGGGGAGGAGGAGGAGGAGGCGGAGGAGGAGGAGGAGGAACACGAGGACGAGGAGGAGGAGGAAGAGGAGGAGGAGAAGTGTGAGCGGGAGGACGACGAGGACGTGAACGAGGACGACAAGGGAGGACGAGGAGGGGGAGCAGCAGCGAGGAGGAGCCCACCGGGGGACCCGCGGCTGCCTCCTGGCCGCCCCCCGCCGCGCCGGGGCCCCCAGGCCCCGATGCCGTGCTGCTGGACCAGATGGTGGAGTACCTGCAGGCGGGGCCCACTGCGATCCGAGGCGGTGCCGACCCGGCCCGGCTCGATGCGATGCGAGGTGGGCGGAGCGGCGACGCGCTGCGGCCCGAGGGCCGCGATGCCCGGCGCCGAGGCTCGAGGCAGCCCGATGCCGAGGCTCGTGCCGAGCCGAGCCGATGCCGCGCTGCGATGCCGACGAGTACGATGCCGGCACAGGGCCACGGCGGCGCCATGGACTACGGGCGCTTCGCTGGCGAGTTCCAGCGCTGGAGGACGGGGGCGCCTCAGCCACGCGCAGGGGGGGGCTTCTTAGAAGCACCCCTGCTTCCTAGAAGGCGCGGGCCTTATCTATAGATGTAAGGCCGGCGCCTTCTAAGAAGCAGCCTGTTTCTAAGAAGCCCTCCCCCCTCCCCCCACCCCCTTGTGCGCGCCGCCAAGCGCCAGAGGGGGGGAGGGAAGGGCAGATCTAGGTCTCCTAGATGGGATGAGAGTAATTAGATGGGGTCGGCGGATCGCGCCGCAGCGCTGATGCATCGACGATCCGGCTCGATGTTGAGCCCGATTTTCTCCACGCCGACGCGTCGGCGAAACCGTTGTTTCGCAGTGATTGCCAATCCCTGATTCCAGAGGGAACCATTATTGTGGATTGCGTTTCAAATGGAATGCATATGAAAATTGCAGCGCAGGAGGGTCCAAGAGCAAACCGTTGTTTTGCATTGAACGCCACAAGGAAAACATAAGGCACGTTGTGCGCCTCCTGATTCCCGAGTAATCATTGTTTCGTGTTGACTTTCCAATGGACCCATAAGGAATTTGAAACGACTCTGGGCCCCAACCAAAACAAAACAAAAACAAAGTTGTTGTCATTGACGTTCGAATAATCACGCTAACCATACAGAAAAAATTAACGCCTCTGGAATCCAGGGAAACATTGTTTCACACTGAGGTTCTAGAACATGTATGAGAACAGTGGGGCACCTCGAAATTCCATGGGATATTGAGGCTTGTACTGATAAACAGAAAAGGAATCCAACGTTTTGCTTTGAGTTGCAAACATGTTCCAAACGGAATGTGAAGCGCCTTTGAATGCCACACTTATCAGAGTGAGGGGGCCGAACGGTCATTCACTGTCCCTGGGTGCGTGGCTGAAGTGGAATTCCGCGGTGCGGATTCTCGTTGTTGTTGTTGTTGTTGTTGTTGTTTGTTGTTGTTTGTTGTTGTTTGTTGTTGTTTGTTTGTTGTTGTTTGTTGTCGTCGTCCCACCCGCAACCCGCCCCGCGACCCACCCGCGACCCACCCCGCGACCCACCCCGCGACCCACCCCGCGACCCACCCCGCGACTCACCCCGCGACCCAACCCGCGACCCGCCCGCGGCCCACCTTGCGACCCACCCGCGACCCACCCGCGACCCACCTACGACCTAACCCCGCGACCCACCCGCGACCCACCCGCGACCCCAACCACGTTCAAGGTACAAACCACCATTTTCGGCGCTTGCGGCGGTTTTTTTTTGCATTCCTTCCAGGTGGAGAGCCCGCGACCCACCCCGTGACCAACTCGCGACCAACCCGCGACCCAAACCACGTTCAGGGTACAAACCACATTTTTCGGCGCCTGCGGCGAGCATCTTTTGCAGTCGTTTCAGGTGGAAAGCCCGCGGCCCACCCGCGACCGCGTTCAGGGTACAAACCACATTGTTCGGCGCCTGTGGCGGGCATCTTTTGCATTCGTTCCCGGTGGAGAACCCACGGCCCACCCGCGACCCAAACCACGTTCAGTGAACAAACCAATTTTGTTTGGCGCCTGCGGCGAGCTGCATTTTGCATTCCTTCCAGGTGGAGGTGGAGAGCCCGCGACCCACCCGCGACCTAAACCACGTTCACTGAACAAACCAATGCCGCACAAGCGCGGCGGCGGATTTTTGCATGCCGTCTGAGCCCGCAAGGACCTCTTCAAGCCCCGCGCATCCACACCAGCCCGTCCAGCAACTCTGCCCTGGCGAGTTGCCTTGATCAGAGAAGGCGGGGAGCATGAAGTGAAAAAAAGGATTGCGTTGCAGTTATCTTGGGAAAGGAGGGAGAGGGAGGAGGAGTAAACAGGGGACGAGGAGAACGCGGATGAAGAGAGGATGTAAGGATAACGTGGAGAAAGAAAAGGAGGAGGAGCAGGAGGACGAGGAGGAGGGGGAGGAGGGGGAGGAGGAGGACGAGGAGGGGGAGGAGGGGGGGGATGATGATGATGGACGACAATGGGAGGACGATGATGGAGGCCGATGAGAGGGAGGACGACAATGGGAGGACGATGATGAAAGGACGAGGGGGGGAGAGGGAAGACGAGGAAAAAGAAGAGGAGCAGGAGGACGAGGTGGAGGAGGAGGATGACGATGACGGTGACGATGAGGACGAGGAAGAGGAGGAGGAGGAGGAGGAGGAGGAGGAGGAGGAGGAGGAGGAGGAGGAGGAGGAGGACAGGGCCATCGACAAGGAAGGTGGGGGCCACGAGGTCCGCCGGCTCGACGACGCCCGCGTCGCCCGCGCCCGCGCCCTCACTCTTATCCGCAATTGCGGGGTGCTACGTATTTTTTGTCTTGACCTTCAAAAAAGAAGCCTTCCGGGAAGTGGAACGCCCAGGGACCCAAACAACACCGCTGTTTTGTATCGAAATTCTTTACGCTTCGCGTATCCCCACCAGCCCATCTCAAAACAGCAACTCTTGCGAAGCATGCCGACAGTCGTGTTTTTCAGGCGTGTGTCCGCTTGCCCCCGCATATCTCCCCTGTTCCTCCTTCCTCCCGCCTCCTTGTACATCCTCCTTGTGGTGGGAGCGGGAGAAGGACGAGGCGGAGGAGGAGGGAGAGAAAGCGGTGGGAGGCAAGAGGGATTTAGCGGAGACGACGACCACAGCGATGATCCTAACAACGACGACGCACCCGACGACGACGACGATATCGACCACAACCGCGACGACGACGACGACGACGTCGACGACGACGACGACGAAGGCGGCGGCGACGACGACGACGACGACGACGACGACGACGACGACGGCGACTGGTGGGAGTCGTTGGGGCCCCTCGTGGTGTGAGTCGTTCGGCCCCATCGTCCTTGTGTGAGTTCTTTGGGGCCTTCCTCCTGGTGTGAGTCGTTCGGGCTCCTCGTGGTGTGAGTCGTTCGGGCCCCTCGTCCTGGTGTGAGCCGTTCGGGCTTCTCGTGCTTCGAGTCGTTCGGGCCTTCGTGGTGTGAGTCGTTGGGGCCCTTCTTCCTGGTGTGAGTCGTTCGTGCTCTTCGTGGTGTGAGTCGTTCGGGCTCTTCGTCCTGGTGTGAGTCGTTCGGGCTTCTCGTTGGGTGAGTTGTTCGGGCCCGTCGTCCTGGTGTGAGTCGTTCGGGCCGCTCCTCTTGGTGTGAGTCGTTCGGGCTCCTCGTGGTGTGAGTCGTTCGGGGCCCTCGTCCTGGTGTGGGTCGTTCGGGCTCCTCGTGGTGTGAGTCGTTCGGGCGCCTCGTCCCGGTGTGAGTCGTTCGGACTCTTCCTCCTGGTGTGAGTCGTAGTGGTAGTACTAGTAGTAGTAGCAGTACTAGTAGTTGTAGTAGTAGTAGTAGTAGTAGTAGTAGTAGTAGTAGTAGTAGTAGTAGTAGAACTAGAACTAGAACTAGAACTAGAACTAGAACTAGAACTAGAACTAGAACTAGAACTAGAACTAGAACTAGAACCGTAGTAGTAGTAGTAGTAGTAGTAGTAGTAGTAGTAGTAGTAGTCGTAGTAGTAGTAGTAGTAGTAGTAGTAGTAGTAGTAGTAGTAGTAGTAGTAGTAGATGTAGTAGTAGTAGTAGTAGTAGTAGTAGTAGTAGTAGTAGTAGTAGTAGTAGCAGTAGTAGTAGTAGTAGTAGTAGTCGTAATAGTAGAAGTAGTAGTAGATGTCTTTGGGGAGCCTCTTGGAGGCCTTTTGGGGCGTCTTCGGGGCATCTTGGCGGCCCCAGGGGCTTGTAGGAGCGTCTTGGGTGCCTTTGGGGAGCCTCTTCGGGCCTCTTGGGAGCCTCTTGGAGACCGTTTGGGGCGTCTTGGGGGCCTCTTGGCGGCTCCAGGGGCTTCCAGGAGCGTCTTGGGTGCCTCGGGGGAGCCTCTTGGGGCCTCTTGGGGGCCTCTTGGGGGCATCTTGGGGGCCTCTTGGAGGCCTCTTGGGGCCTCTTGGGGCTCTTTGGGAGGGGTCTGGGAGGAATTTTGGGGCCATCTGTCGGGCGATCGATCACAAATGGGGCGAGCATTTTTCTCCCTCCCCCCGTGGGGGCCAGAATCCTCGTGAGGGTTGTCGAATTTTAGCCCTCCCAGGAGTCGAAAAAGACCCCTCCAACCACCCGCGAGACGCCCTCTCCAGGCCCAGGGGGAGGGGGTAGGGGGAGGGGTAAACCCCTCCCCGAAGGGGAAGAAGGGGGGTTGAGAACAGAGAGAGAGAGAGAGAGAGAGAGAGAGAGAGAGAGAGAGAGAGAGAGAGAGAGAGAGAGAGAGAGAGCTCCCTAAACCACTCACGCCCAAAGGGCTGGTGGGATTGAACGATCGCAAATATGAAACGCTCCCGGATTCCACTGGAACCCGTTGTGTTACATTGATTGTCACCAAAAAGAAGTTTTGAGGCTTAAGGGAGTGGAGCGCCTTCAGATCCCACAGAAAGCAGTGGTTTTGCATGGAGCCATTGTGAGTCTTGAGGAAGCCTGGGACGTCACGAGGCGCCCTGAGGAATCTTGAGGAACCTATAGGCATTCGCAGAAACCATTGGAATCTCGTGGGGCCCTGGGGTAGCCCGAGGAATACTGAGGAGTCCTGCGGGCACCCAAGGAATCCAGGAGTCCTGGAAGATTCCTCCGCAGGATCTGGTACTACTGCAACTATTTCTTCTACTATTACTGCACCATCACCATCATTACTACTACTACTACTACTACGACTACTACTACTACTACTACTGCTACTACTACAACTGTTACTACTACTACTACTACTACTACTACTACTACTGCTACTGCTACTACTACTACTACTACTACTACTACTACTACTACGACTACTACTACTACTACTACTTCTATTTCTACTTCTGCGATCACTTACTACCACTGCTACAAATCACGACGACGATTACTACTACGACCACGCCTAGTATTACTGCTACTACGACTACTATTACTTCTACGTTTACTACGAATACTACTACTACGACTTCGACTACGACGAATACGACTACTACCACTACTACTACTGCTACTACTACTACTACTACTAC